GCGGCCACCCCCAACCAACAGCCCCAGCGCGCCGGAAGTGGCGAGCGCCCGGCGCGGCCCCACGGCACGGCCGCCGGGTTGCGGCCCTGGAACCGGACCAATCCGGAATCGAGCGGGGGAAGGGGCGGGCAGGGCGGGGCCACACCTGACGGCTCCAGCCTCGCCCCGCCTCCATCCTATCCCCGCCCCCTGTGCCCGCCTCCCATCCACGCGGGCCGGCGGCCATCTTGGTAAAGGGAGCCGGACCTGCCATTTTAGTAAAGAGACGGTTTCTCTTTCGCCTTGTTCGCTCATTCATTCCGCGTATCTTAACTGAGCGCTTTTCAGCGTGCCGAGCACTAGGCTAGAAGTTAGCTGCACGGCCTTGGTCTTCGTGAAGCTTACCTGAAAGGGCTAGGACTACCGCAGTAAACAAAACTTTGTAGTCCTTGCCCTCGAGGAGGCAGATGATCAACAAGCACTAATGAGTAAATTGGTTGTAAACAAAGAGGAGTGCAGGGAGTGTTATGAACGAAACAAACACTCAGAGGACTGAGATATGGAATGGAAATGTAAACTCAGACCTTCAGGATACAATAAAAGTCAGTTGCGGGAAGCGTGATCAAAGTTGAAGGTTCTGAGAGGGCAAAGAATGTGATGGATTCCAGTTCCCATCCTCCAACCCAGTTTATCTGTGGAAGGGCTGATTTTAAGAAAGGAAACCCAAACAACAGAGGTTGGGCCCTAGGGTGTATCTACCTCGTAGATTAGAGCAAATCTATAATAACCCAGTGGTTTTCAAACTTTAGCTTTGTCAAAAGAAACTGAGTCAATAAAATTAATCTATTGGATGAAGGTTATTCGGGCAGAAGATTCGAGAATAGGGTAGTACCAAGCAGAAACTAGAAAGATACTTCCTCGAGTATCAGCAGTGACTATTGTTTATTGACAAAACACTGAAACAAAGCAGTCTTATCTCTGATTGGCATATACAATTTGGAAGCCCTGGTGGCTAAGCGGTTAAGTGGTACAGCTGCTAACCAAAAGGTTGTCTGTTCTAATCCACCAGGTGCTCCTTGGAAACTATACGGGACAGCTATACTCTGCCCTATAGAGTGGGAATCCACTTGACGGCAACGGGTGATAAAGACAAGTCTTAGGGTATTGTCCAGTCCACTGCTGATGCCATTTTTGTCAACCACACTTTATTTCCTACAACACCTTTCATCAGAATCACCTGGAAAACCGATTGCCTCCAGTGATTCTGACGCAAGACAATTCCAGAGAATTGCCTGGAGGGTCTGTTGAAACAGGAATTGCTGGGCTCCACCCCCAGAGTTTCTAAATCAGTAGGTCTGGGGTGGGACCTAAAATTTGCATTTCTAACGAGTTCCCAGGTGATGCTGATACTCAGGTCCAGGAACCATACTTGGAGACTCATTGGTATAATTCATTACCACAGAAAGCAATAGCTTTCATTTAATCTTTTATGAAATATTTATTGTTGCTCACTAAGTGACAGCCACTGTTCCAAGGATTCACTGTTGAGCAAAACAGACACACTTGTGTCCTTCCGGAATTTAAAGTCAAATTATGAAAATATTATTCCACTATAATTAATTATAATTGTGTGTTAAGTGCAATGAAGGAAAAGTATAAGCGCCATGAGAATTAATAGCTGAGGAATCTAAGCTAATGGGGATGGGAGGATGTCAGGGAAGTGACATATATTTAAGCTGTGGCCTCAAGACAGGTCGGAGTTTGCTAGGCAAAGTGAAGCGGCAAAAAACATCCTAGGCAGTAGGAACTGCAGGTGCAAGAGAAGCCATCTCAGTAGGTAAACAGATAAATCAGGACTGAGGTCAAGTCACTTGTTCTTTTTTGGCTCAGTTTAGTGGGTGGAAACCCAGCTGGGTGGAATCCCAGCTCTTACACTCACTGGTTGAGGTATCTTGGGCAAGTGACAACAAAATCTTGGTTTTCTCACTGTGTACTGTATTTTTACACAAGTAACACACACCTTCTACATTTACGTTTGCTTGCCAACCGAGCCCTCTGCCTACAAGGTATTTTCATAACAGCACTATGCCAATGTATTTTTTACAGCAGTATGTAAAAAAAAAAAAAAAATTAGCATAGTGCACTTAACGAAAATACCTTACAGGCAGAGGACACAGTTGGCAAACAAACGCAGAAGGCCAGCATTATTTTCGTAATAAAAATACGGTAATTGGATGAAATAGAAACCCAACTCAGATTCATTTAAAGGAATGTCATTAGCTCACATAACTGGACATACAGAGGTAGGTCAACTTCAGGCTGGGTGTGATAAGAGTCCGAGATCCATTCTTCTAGGATTCTCTTGGCTCTGCTCTCCTCCATGTATTAGCTTTGTCCTCAAGATGGCTACGAGGAATAGCCAGGGCCATAAACTTCCTCATTCACATCCAGCAAGAGTATCTTTCCTCACATCTGTTCTCACAGCAATAGGCTTTATCCTACTGGTCCTAATTGACTTAGGCCCACCCATCCCTCAACTAGCCATTATAGAGGAGATGTGATTGCTATGACTGGCTTACAGAATCCTCCCAGGAGTTGATTCCAATTCTCCAGAATAGACTGGATGTTGTCAACCACGTATTCATCATGCCTTCCTTGCCCGACTGTGGCAAGGATTTAATTTAAAGTATATAAAATATCTAGCACATAGGCATACAATACATCACAGCTATTATAAATTTTACTCCAGGGATTTTTTCCAAGTCAGCTAAATAACATTTAGTTATTAATATTAATTTCAAGCCTGTCTTATTCCAAAAAAAAAAAAAATATTTAAGGCTGCCATTACTTTTTACTGACACTGTAGGAATGGCCCCCATCCATCTCCTCCTGCCCATTCCTATTGCTACTGCCTGATCTCATTCATTCAGTTATTCATTCAACAAACATTCAGTGAGTTAGTATTGACTTTGTGCCAGGCCTTAACTAAGAACGCCAAAATGAATAAGATTAAGGCAAATTGTCCACTGCCTAGTGGCAGAAACAGCTGCCCAAACAATTACAACCCATTGTGAGAGGTGCTGTGATAAAAGTATGTTGCACTTGGATGCTAACCAAAAGCTTGGAGATTCAAGTCCACCCAGGGAAGCCTCAGAAGAAAACCCATTGCCTTTAGTAAATTCTGACTCATAACGACCCTGGCAAGCTACTTCCAAAACATTAGCCATTGAAAACCCTATGAATCCCAGCAGGGTAGCCACAATTTGGAATCCATTTGATGGCAACTGGATAAATCTTTTAAGCACACAAGGGACTGGGAAGGGAGCAACTATCTGTGGAGGGCTAGTTGGAAGGCTGAACAAAGATGATAATGTTTGAGCTGGGTCTTGATGGATGAATAGGAGTTCATCCAGCTGCTGCAGAGTCGTTACTCCTCTTCCCACTCCAGGCTGTCTTCCACTGTCAGGATGCTTTCAGCTGCAAGTGATAAGGTTGGGACTCTAAAGTTGAGATTCTAAATGTCGTAAGGGAAAAAGGGAATATATCAGCTTCTGTAAGAGAACCATCCAAAGGGTTGGCTGGATTTCAAACATGACTGGATTCAACGTCTGAAGTGATATCACAAATCTCCATGTCTCTCCATTTTTTGGTTCTGCTTCCTTGATTTGGGGTCCTTTATCCATATGGTGGCCCCTGGCATATCTAGACTTTATCTTCTCCGAGGTTGAAGCCTGGCAGGAAAGATAACATGCTGTCTTACAAATGTCCCGGGGGAGGTGGGGGGAGAACCCGTTTGCTTTGATTGGATCACATATCCACTCCTGAACCAATTACTGTGGCCAGGGGAATATAATGATTTGATGGCTGGGCCTCAGTCACATTCTCCATCTCAGGCTCCAAAATAGTTCTTCCAATGACCAAGATCTCTCTGATCTCCACCACAGCTCTATGAGGCAATCATATCCTGGAGAATTCTCCTTCTTTACAGATGAGGAAACATGTTGGTTTCTCAGCAGGCATAGGAGTAACGATGTCATTCCGTATGGACTTAATGAAAGAAGGTAAAAAGGATGAGAGTCTAGCAACTTCTATAGCTGATGGGAATGCTCTCTCCTTAGTCTGGCATTCAAAGCCTTTGAACATCTTTGAAGTTCTATAGCCAGACAGTCTGGGTTGAGTCCTTGCTCTGCCACTTATGCAGCTGTGTGGCCTTAAACAAGTCACTTAAACTTTCTATACCTCAGTTTCCTCATCCAAAAAATGGGAACAATACTTAGTACCTACCTGGCTGGATAGGTACTTAACATTAGTCAGGTTCTATCAGGAAACCCAAGTTAGTATTTGAAGAATTGATAAGGGGGCTATTTAAAAAGGTCAGGGTGTTAGGGTCATGGTTTTATGGAACATCCCAGTTAATTGGCCTAATATCGGGTTTAATGCTTTTGTTCTACCTCCTAGTGCCTGGGGTCTTAAAAGCTTGAAAGCAGCCATCCAAGTTACAACAATTGGTCTCTATTTGCCTGGAGCAACCAAGGAAGAAGGAGAGTCAGGAGGAAGAAATGGAATGTGTGGCTAATTGCCTCCATGAACAACTGCCTCCTTTCCCATGAGACCAGAAGAGCTGGATGGTGCCCAGCTACTGTTACTGAATGTTTTGATCAAAGATTCCATAGAAGAATCCTGTTCAAAAGGGGGAAAATGCAGAACAGAATTTGAAATTCTCATGGAATCCAGACTTTCTGGAGTCGTGGATGATGGATGAACCCCTGAAACTATTGCCCTGAGATAATCTTCAGACCTTAAACCAAAAATATCCCCTGAAGTCTTCTTAAAACCAAATAGTAACTTAGCTTAACTAGTAAAGAATATCTGTCTGGAGCATTGTGCTCTTTTAAGAACTATATGGAATCA